ATGAATATGCCTCCTTTTTTGTACCTATCTGAGCCTGTTTCCAGAAATGTGATTAAATATGTCAGTTTGATGTTTATCTGACAGTTAAAGGTTGGCCAGGACATCCATTGCTTGAAATAAACACCGCTACTTATGGTTGATGTAAATGTCAGATAAGGTTTGGGAGTGGAATTTCTTTTAAGATGCGTTGGTCCACTTGAAGTGAATTCATTTTCCTCAAAGCTTTTGTTTTTCAAAAAGTGTGTGGCACTCCTTCTTGCAGTGGGGGGTCGAGAAATGAAATATGTCACAGATATTGTTGTACATCAAGAAAAAAATTGAAGGAAGAGATGCAAACATTACCTGCCTTTCTGCCAACCTCTCATGGATTGCTGGAAATAGAAACAAAATAATGTAGCCCATAAGTGACCAAGCACAAATATAGAAAAAGGGTTAATACCACACATAAAAATTAAGCTTTACTCATTTTTTTTGTCTGTCCCGCAGACACTTTGTTTCTCTCCACCTTTTTCTGTTAAGATTCCTTTGTAACACCAATTTCATAGCTACAAAACCCAGTTTCACCTCATTGTCACGCAGTGAAACCCCAATCACCCGCCCCTCCAAGCAGCAACCCCCAGGTACATGTACATCCCATCATTCTCTGACCCTGTTGCTTCCATTGCCCAATATTTGGTACTCTGAAAGCTGACAGAGGACATCTTTACAACACCTCTGGGTAATAGGTTCATGTGACAAACTTACGATTGTTTTGTAGGATTCTTACCAAGTTTTGTAACACTACCCAGATGTTTATATATGTGTATGCTGTCAAATCGACCTGGGTAACAATTTATTTTACTGGCAAATACTCTTTACGGTTCCATTGGGTGCAACGGTAATCTTGTTCACATGTTTCAAAGTATGTCCAAATGTCTTGGAGGGGTTGGAAGGGGAAGATTAATCTGCCTCTCTGAGCACAACCAGGCTTTGTTTTCATGGTTGCAGACAAATTTTGTACAAGGGGTGAGAACCCTGGGCCTAACGTTTAAAGTTAGAAATAATGTTTGTATGAAAGGTAAGAGGGAAAGTGACATTTTAAAAAATGAAAAACTTGTAATTTCTGTTCTGAAATAGAAAGAATTGAGTGATTCATCAAAGAAAAATTATCTCTTCAAGAAAAAACATGGAAAAGCTGACTTGGTCTTAATTTGTCAATGACAAAGAGAAATGGAATTTGACCATAAAAGTTTTAGAATACAATACGTTGCTCGTTCAAATGACCTATCAAGCTGTGCAAGTACACTGGACAGCAAAAGAAACTTGCCACTTCTGTCAAAGGCCACACATAACAATTCACTCCATAGAAATAAACAGTTTTTGTACACAGGTATGCTGCAATACCCTTTACTAATCACATGCCCAAAAGCAAGTGATTATGTTTATAACAAAGATGAAATTGACATGCACAGCAACTTGGTTACTGAATCAAAAGTCACACACAAAAGTACTCTCCACCAAGCAAAACTGACCCATGAATGGACATTTTAAACAACCAATGACAAAGTGAACACCTGTTTTGTCAAAATGATGTTCATGAGTGGTTTCTGTATAGGGATGCCATCCTTACTGACTATGCATACACATTATTGAAAAGTAATGATCGTGACTTCTTTATTTCGTCCTGTGACATTGATTTCTGCCTTATAGGCCTACTTAAGGCTCATTCTGTTACATTCTGTGACTTTTGAGAGAGATGTGTGCTGAAATTGTATTGCGCACCGTTCACGATGCGCCCAACTTATCCCATTTTCAATGGCCAACTTGCCTCTTGTTTCTGATACCTGCGAGCAGCAATCCCATTCATGCAAATTTACTATGAACCCTTCCACTGAAAAAATCCTGTACCGATGGCTGATCATAACCCATAGCTGTTGTATCACTAAATATTAATATAACTATGTATTTACATATACTGTCTTTTTTGGGGGGGGTATTACGCTCTTGACATGGCATACTTTA